CATTCGGGCTTAGCAATGCTCCAGCAACATTTGGGAGGCTGATGAAAAGAGTACTGTAAGGCCTAAAATGGAGGATAGCCCTAGTGTACCTGGATGATGTCATTGTATTTGAAGTTTATCGGAGATAATTTCTACGGAAAACTAACAAACGAACACAGAGACGTAACAATACCAAGAAGATTATATATACAAACTAATTCTTAACTATAAACCTCAGAGACATTGTACCATAATTCAACAGAAATTGAAAACAACAGCCATGTTTAATATACCATAGACCAATAACTACAAAAGAACAAAAGATAGTAAGAACTGATCACACCCTATAATAAACTCTAAAAAATTTGCTTACAGCTATAAAAGATGTAAAATAAATACTGTTTTATTTACTGTAGTGGTGCTGAAGATTAGCATACTGTTGCTAATGTAGTTTACAAAGTAAAAATAACAATTATATTCTCAAATTTGTATTAGTGAAACAGACAGACAACTACAAAGTTATATTGCTGAACATTGATTTGATCTACAAATTTCAACCAGATGTGCTTCAACTCAACATATCTATGATAAACACAGTCTTCTCTCAACCAATACAGATCTTTCCTCCACAGTCAGAATACTTGAATGAACTTACACAGAAATATAAATTTCCACACTCCAGCTTACAATCAATAAAAACAAAGACTGGCATTGGTAATATATTAAGTGTTAACTTCTAAACCTTTTTTGAAAAAATGTTTTTTTTATCAATATATATTATATCATTGTTACTCTTATAACAATAATAATATTCTGCAACTCCAATTTTGTAAAAATTTTATTTTTATTACCGTTCAGATCACATTGTGGTTAATGCCATGTGAAATAGAACATTAAATTTCTAATTTAACGTATGTTATCATACTGATCTGTACTATACCATAATGGTGAAATGCTGGTTCAATTAAATAAATTACATCTACAGTTCTGTGGTCACTTTTATGTATTTTTATATACAAAGAGTGTCAAAATTTTGTCTTGCTGCATAGTGTATGTGGTGGTGATGGTAGAGCAAAGGGTTGTTTGATGTTAGTAAATCCAAATGCACAGATATATATAAAAAGCACAAACTTGGACTAAAGCCCAAATGAATTGATAGATTTTTACATCTGTAGTAAAACCAAAAATTAGTTATGTACAAATGACTTTATACTAAAAACAAATTTTCAGGTTAACTTTTCTATTCAAATATTTTTTGCTTTGTTATTATTTACCTGAATCTAAGTCTGTGGCACTGACTGTGATGATGCTTGTACCTACTGTGACGTTTTCATGCACTTCATTGCTGTAGCTCATTGGATCAAAAAGAGGTGTGTTGTCATTGAGATCCAGAACATTAAAGTAAACAGTAACAGTACTGGACATCACAGGTTGGCCTGAGTCTTGAGCTTGTACAACAAAGACATAGTGTTGAACCTAACCCAAAATACAATTTATTTTAATGCAATAACACAACTGCAACAACTTAACATTTTTTAAACAAAAACGATTATCTAATCTTTCTGAAATGAACAAAAATGAAAAATATTTTAGTTTCACACAAAACAAATTTTAGAATAACTCATCAGTTCTATTCATTCTTATGAATATTTAGTTTCTTCTCCCAAACCAATTTTGTGAACAATAAAAAATAATGTATGTACTCAGCACATCTGGAAAGTGGACTTTTGTAAATGACCTCTGTAAGCATGTTGTCAATTACGTAGTAGTTGTACCAAAAGTGAGACTTCATGATTCTAATAATATGACCAAAATTGTGATATAGCTTTGTATGTATGTATATATAATAGGTAAGTGATGGAAAGCAAAAAGAAAGAACATTTCTGAAATAAAAATTGCTTACAAGAATATGTGTTTGTGCAAGAAGTAATTTTGAGAAAAATTTTGAGTTATCAACAAAAGCACTGAATGATACGCATAATGAAAGACTGATATTATTAATAGCAAATTTAATAAATGAAGTCAAATAACATTAAATATATAAAAACATAAAATGATAAATATTAAATGAAAAATTATGACACTGAGGTAAAATGAATTTTAAATTAATTAATGAGAGTCAAAACATTATTAATGTAATTATGAAAAAAAAATGTTCAAAACAATAGTTTCAAACATTTTCCAGAAAGACTTTCAGTTAAAGGGTCAATGTTCATGTCATGTAGGGAGACCATGTTTAAAATACTTATCTAGTAGGCTTTTTTTATTTCTCTGTTGGCTATTGATTTCAATCTCATTTCAATAACAATTAGAATAATGTCACTAACAGAGTGGTTAGGTTGATTAAAGTGTAGGGCAACAGGAAGTCTTTTTTGTAGTCTTGATAAAGGATTTATGGTTATTAACCCACTTTCTCAGGGTACTCAGGTTTTTTCAAAATACTGATGGTTGTATTTTCTTTTTTTGTTGCACTGTATAAGATACATCATATTTTGGATTTGATAAGAAACTGGTTTTGTTATGCTGTAGTAGATGTTTTTCATGTTCTTCAGAGAAAGTATGCCTACAAATGGTCATTTGTCATTATTTTCTGAACGCATTCAGATTATTGGGTTTCTTTTCTGTTGCTAACTTTTTTCTCATCATCCTGCGTGCTTTAGAATATGATGAAACAATATATACTTTATATATATATATATATAAGTATATTTAAGACAAAGCTTCTGTAGAACCAAAATGCCATAAAAATAAACAAAAAACAAGGATCACAGTAATAGAAAATATTTTACAAATACTGTTACGTCTCTGTTCGTTAGTTAATTTTCCGTAAATTCGTTCCGACGAAACTTTAGCGACACAAGTCCTTTCTTAAATAAAACTGGTTTATTCTTTCCGAATACAACTTTACGATACACTTAATTTCAACAGTCGCTCTAAAACACACGCTATAACTCACGTCTCACGTGGCCAACAATATTTTATCCGCATACATTCAATTACTCATTCACTTACACATTCTCTGACTGCAGTTCAATTACTCACTACCTCCCCGTCGCTTCGCGGCCGGTCTTATATATACAAGACTACACTATATCTA